TGGTAGCTAGCCTCGCATCTACACTCAGAGAAAAGTGACTTCCCCACCAGCAGGCACTATGGTGGACCACCCGATGACAACTTGAATGAGCTCGTGGTATGGCGAAAAGACGGAGTAAGGAGGGGAAAAGAAGACTCAGTTTACTATATATCAGGCCCTCAGGCAGTGTCAGCAATTGCAAAGCTGGATCAAACGAATCCTAAGCACTGAAGTTCCTCAGGCAATAAATATGGCTTGTCGATATACGTACTAGTGGCTTCACACACGTCAACTTTTTTGGGCTCATTCGTCTGCAAACCGTTATAAGGAACAGCACGAACTCACAGACATGGATGGGCCTTGCATACACATGATAGATCACCCGGGGTGAACGAGATAAACCTACTGAGAGGATAAGCAAACATTTTTTACTACTACTGCGAATTTACGAAAACAAACCACAACACCAGGCATGCATGCATGCATGCATGCATGCGTGCTTGCATGCAGTGGACTCATTTGTCACTCATACGATTTCTGGTGGCACCCTAAAGTACACTCAAGAGTCAAGACCATGATCAAAGATGGAGGAGCAACTTAGACAACAAGCAAGTCCAGGAACATGCGTCATAATCAAAACTGCATGGCATTGAGTACTCGCAACCAGGCATCATTTAGTTTCACGCATCACACTCCTCAAAGGCCAACCGCGGTGGTCCGCGGCCAGGGTTGATATCCAGACCGCAGGCCGGGATCGACCCCTCTCGGCCGCAGTCGCAAACGCGGGGGACACATAGCCTGCCATTACTTGTCGCTCCAGAACCAGAAACGCACGGGAAATTCAAGTCCCGACCTGGAATTCCACACTCAATTCTTCCTAAAATCCTTGGCACACCCCCATGGTCACTTTCCGGGCCCTCTTCCACATTTCAGTCACTCCGCCCACCAGAAAAGCATTTCAGGGGGCGAGGTTGAGCGTCACACTGGCAGGTTGTCTGCCTATATGATCTGGAAAGTACACAGTTTACTGCAAAACTGACACCCTACAAACCAGCACTTCCGGAGTCTTCTTGAGCCAGCTGGCCTTTATTGGGAGGACTTGCAAGCTCAACAGGAGCACTGGGTTCATCTGGTAAGGGCTAGAGCGGTTACAGTCTTAGGGACAAAGACAAAGGGTTCTATGCAAACAGAGTTCGCCATCAGTACCTTTGACAGCCACTTTTCTCCGACGAGGCCGCATGCCTGCAGTAAGTTTCGGGGGTCGGCCTAACAGAGTAAAATGGCGGCCGGTGCCAGCGAAAGAAGGCCCACGCCGGTTTGTTGTTGGCACCCAGGGCTATTCCAGGCTCGGGGAAGGGAAGGGTCTTTGTCCATCTCTATTTGCTACCCCAAGCTCCTTCCTCCCCTTACCCTTTACTTTCGCCTTCAATCTGTCACCAATGAGGACCTCTATCATCTTGGAATTCACACACGCTAACCCTTCTCTCTCTCTCTCTCTCTCTCTCTCTCTCTCTCTCTCTCTCTCTCTCTCTCTTCCTTCTATTCCTCTTTTCCATCCTCCCTCTGGTCAGTTTCCAACTTTCCATCGCCCAGACAAACTTGAGAATCGAAATCAAGCCAATCCTCAAATGGTGGAGGCTTGGGCCAGAATTTACGGTCCGGATCGGGAATTCGGGTACGTGGGACTTGGCCCCCAAACTGCGAGTGCCATGATGGCAGTCCAGATGGCTGAGAGGGATACTCTGTTCTTCCTGGGCAATCTGGTCAGGGAGGGGATCTCAGAAGAGAGGGGTGGGGAAGGAGAGTCATCGCCTCTAAGATGGGCAATGTTTTTTTTTTTTTTTTTTTTTTTTTTTTTTTTTTTTTTTTTTTTTTTTTTTGCAAGGCTCCTATCTATTCGTGGGGAGCAGCACGAACCGGGAACCGGGCCCAACGTCCCATACCATATTCATACAGTACCAGGGCCATTACCCAGCTTCAGCTATTACAGTAAAACACACAGATCCACTCATAGTACCCATACCATATTCATACAATACCTGGGCCATTACCGGGCTGAAATCCGACGCTGGGCATAGCTCGACCAACCCATCAATGACCGTCCACTCATGAAAGATGTGCTTGTAGTCTTTGATGGGTCTATCCTGCTCCTCCCTGCCCTGCCCACCCTGCCATTGCACCTTCAGCTATCCATCCCCCCAACTCCCCCCCCAGCCAACTGTTGCAGAATTCAAATGGATATTTGTCAGTATTTCCTTCCTTGTGTGCAAAAACGCCAACTTTTCTTTCGCCACCGCCTCCCAGTGGGCCTGAATACCGTGTTTTTTTTTTTTGGCCTGAATACCGTTCTGTACCTGTTGCTGAAGAGATGCCGTCACATCTTTTGATTCTTTTTTTTTTTTTTTGAGCATTGTAAGATGGCGAATAAACTTAATTGAAAATTGAAATAAAAATGTTGTCTTTGAGGATAACTCCGGGTCGAACACACACACACACACACACACTTTTTTTTTTTTTTTTTTTTTTTTTTTTTTTTTTTTTAATTTGATTATTTTCCATCCAGGCACTCTCCATTCATTTCTATGGTGCAGCGTCTGTACCATCCGGGCCAAAGGACTGACCTTCTTCCCAGGTCAAACATCTTAAGCTCGATTGGGATGGCCTGATCAAAATTCAAACAAACCACACAAAAATTGACAAAATTGCTCTCCAGTCCTCTGACGGCCATTGCTGATCTGTGCCCGGTTGTCTCCAGATCATGGACCATAGGCCATCCCACCACTTCCAAACTCGAACGGAGCTTGGGCACTGCATAAACTTTAAGATATGCTGGAAATTGGCCCCAGTAGTTACGCGGGAGTATTGTGGGGTTTCCCGGCCCCGTACCCTTCAGTTTTTTCGCAATGAAACGTTCTATTGTTCTCCCAAAAAAAAAAAAAAAAAAAAAAAAACTTTAAGATATGCTCAATACTAGTTTTGGGTATCTTCCGGGAGGTGAAGGCGCCACTGCGGCGTTTGCACCGCTGAGAGGCTAAAACCCGCTGTTCCAGAGTAGTCCTATCAACAAACCAGTCGTTTGTCGCAAGGCAGCGGTGATCAACGGCACAGTTGTGCTGGCTGCTTGTTCAAATATCTTTGCAAAGCAATTCTTATTCTCCTTACGAAGAATTTTTTTTTTTTTTTTTTTATCAGTATTTAATTATTATCTTAGTCGATCAATATGTATATAATTTAAGTCGATAATTAATAAGATGTTCGTGGGTGGATAGCGATCCTTACCAGCTTGGGGCCAGAATGTGATACCTTTCACCAACGTATTCTGAAGACCTGAAGCTGAATAGGAAATAACTGGCTACGTCTCTTTTATCCTTAACTGGGATAGCCGTGCGTAAGTTGATGTATTTTCAATTTTTCACGATCAAACATAAACTGTGACCCATTTATTTTTTTATTTTTTATTTTTTCAAACTGTGAACCATTTACAAGGGCATGCAAAAAAAGCAAAAAATATATATATCGTCTATATATATATATATATATCGTCACAAACAGAACTGCCCGGTAAAACCGTAGGCAGAGAGAGAAGAGGACAACAAACGAGGGGCTGTGACAAACTGTTTCGTCGGAGTTTCACCGACTCATCAGGAGGCTGAACCCTCAACAGTCTGCAGAATCCCCTCACTGATTACACTGTAAATGATAATCTACCTT